ACTATTATTTTTCTAAAAATTAAATTAGCTTTTATTGTAAAAGTGGCTACGACTCTACTTCGGTTAAAGTTCTACACAAAATATAGCCTTTTGCTTGATTCCTTTCGCAATATAATTATCATCTTTTGACATTGGCACAAATCAAGCGCTGGCAACAATATCCAATGACGAAATTGCTTCACTTTTATGAAATGGTTTGACTATAGTTGATTAACTATTTTGTTCCAATATTTTCTTCATCTATGCATAAATTTTAGATCTCGGATTTCTTCCGGATCCGATTATATAGTAGAAGAAGAAGAATGATAAAAGGGTGTGGGGTGTGGGGTGTGGTGGTGGGTGGTGGGGATGGGTACGGGTCTTCTTTACACCCACCCCACCCCCACTCCCACACCTACACCTACCCCCCACACCCACATCCACACCCACCCACACCAACACCCGCACCAACACCCGCACACCCACACCCACACCCGCACACCCACACCCGCACACCCACACCCGCACATCCACCACCCTATAGTACTTTTTTCTTTTTATTTATTCACATGAAAGGGATCTTGAAAGAATCTCTCAGACTTTTTCAAGGAATGAACAAGATTGAGAATAGATCTAGGGCAAACTTAGCAGGAAATGTCAACAGGATATACTCGAATCAATTCCTAACTTTTCTTATGTAGTCCTTATTGTAATTCGATAGAATTATCACTGCTAATCTCTAATCATTGTATGCTTATATTAGCTATTTTTTTGCATAATTGAATTTAGAATTATTTCGGAATTCTGGAAAAATCTGTAAAGGATAAGAGTTCATATAAATTCTGAGCTAACAGAGTTTGTATGATTAAATTTTGATATTTGTTCAACAACACATATTAGAAAAATAAGCATATACAACTATCGATCAATATAAACTTATTTCTCAGTCAGAATAATAATCTTTTCATTTTAGGTGTTTTTAAAAAAAAGATTTTAAAGGTAGATTGAATTTTACAGAGAAAAACAAGTCTTTTCAGTTCAAAGGACATGAAAATATGAATTTGTTTAATGCAATTTTTAAGAAAGTCTTATGATTTAAAGTTCACTGTGGTAGAAAAGACAAGTTCCTAGTTTTCTAGAAGCTTTATTCCACTATAAATGGGTCGGCGTTGCCATCGACATATACGCATTACAATATAATACACATATTGATCGAAACAACTTTATTATTTATTTCTTTTCTGTTTGTCTCCTAAAATGCGAGAAAAAATGATCATGAAAAAAGTGCCGAAAAAAAATATTGGATCTTAAATCGATTTATTGGTTAAATGAACTTGCCGATACTCACAAAATAAAATTTTAATCGATAGTAACTGACTAAAATTCTTCTGTTCTTGACTGAAAAGTTGAATATTATAAATTATGCTCAACTGAATTGCCAAAATAATACTCTGTTAAATCAAAAAAGTGTTTTTCTTGTAACAATTTACCGTATAGTTATGCACAGTACAGAGTGTTCCATAAGCTTTGTCTCCCCAACTCTACGACCTAAAGGACAGATAATATCAGAAAGTATTTATACCAAATTAAAGCCCATCAAAAGCTGCATCTATGTATGCAATTGGAGTAAATGTTGCCTAAACTATAGATAAAATACCTTGCACAACATATTAAAATCTCATGGATTGCACAATATAGAGTCCATCAAAGAACTATCACACCGCTCATCGACTTTATTGTGTAATCCATGAGATTTTAATATGTTGTGCAAGGTATTTTATCTATAGTTCAGGCAACATTTACTCCTATTGCATACATAGATGTAGGTTTTGATGGGCTTTAATTTGGTATAAATACTTTCTGATATTATCTGTCTTTTAGGTCGTAGAGTGGGGGAGACAAAGGTTATGGGACACCCTGTAAATGGTGATTTTTCTTGTGGCTAGGCCCAAAACTGAATGTGCATTTTTTCTTTAAAACATCTTCATAAAGACTATGTCTTGAGGATGAAGAAATAATCCGTCTAGTTATTGCATTCTTCTATAGTTCTAAACAGCACATCTCATCAGATTGTCTAAGGCGAGAGGGTGTGAGTGAAGATGGAAAATATTTGCTCGATAAGCTCGCTCAAAAATGGTATCATTTGGCACAGAATTTAATGCTGAATTCAATTCAACTACTTTAGACTCAACTCAGATAGTATAGCGAATCCAGATGCGAAAGACTTTGCGAAAAAATTTGAAAAAAACCAGTATTTCGGAATTAAGTGCCATTTTTTGATCGAAAAACTGGCTCGAACATGTCACCATTCGATTCAGAATAGAATTCTGCGCCTAACTCGAATCTAGTGCTAACTTTACCTACGTGTAAAAATTCGTTTGAAAGTGATAAAAGTTTTTCCTTATTTTGTACTGAAGTAAAAAATTCACATGAGATTGGTCCCGAGTTTGACACTTCAGAGGGATCCTCCCAATCTCATTTTTGGAAATACCTCCTCCTGGTTTGATCTCTTTGCACCGCCTCTGGATTGCTGCATGACTAACTATCAATAATTATCCCTCAACATAGTCATAATAATGGTTTGAATAAAATTCAATTAGAAAATTATATTTATCTTATCAATAACTCACAAAATAGCAATGATTTAAAAATTGAAGCGTTAAGATCAATAATCTTGACTGCCATGAAAAATTAAATTTACTTGAATTTGTTGTTGTTGAAATTCTAATCGACAATATTAAAAACTTTTTGAAATTGTCTCTCAATGACAGAACATACTAAATGTTGATCAACTGTCAACGAAAATTATTAGATGATTGAGTAATAATTGGCGAAGAAGCTTATCTTATTCTTGAGAAAAGTACAATAGATAACTTTGATTCTTATAATAGGCATCTTCAGTAGTTCAAAACAAGTTCTACAAACTAAATGGGTTATATTGTCTTCGTTCAATAATCAGATCAATATTTTAAGATAGAGAATTTTATTTCAATGATAATCAATGTTTATTAGTTCAAAATCTAACTACATACAAACAAAATCTAAATAAAACATATCTGCTTTTAAAAATCAGATGTAATTTCTTGACGATGATAGAAAATAAGTTCAGGTTGATCGTGATTAATTCGAAAATCACCAAAAAAACGCATAACATCAACAAATAAAAGTTTGTCTTCAACAGATATTTGACCATTTAAAAATTGATATGTTTGACAAGATATCGAACCGTCCATATCATCTTCCTCAGTCGTAGATTTTTCATCAAAATGTTCAGCTGGTAAAAGATAAAGAAAAAAATGAGATACATCATTTTCATACATGAAATAATCTTCTTCACCATGTGGCATTATATAAATAAGTTCAAATTTTCTTGCTTTATTTTTTATCATTTTGTTATCATTATTCATTTGATTAAAAAAATAATTATTTAATTTATGAATTGCAGCTTCAAGTTTAGGACATCGACATTTAATTGATGATGGTTGTTTATAATCGTTTATTGAACATGCTTCGCACATATGAAAATCTTTTGCATAATTCAATTTAAATTCATCTCGTCGTAAATCAAATATATCTTTTGTTACATATTTGAATAAATTTCGTGGTAAATAAGCAGTAATAAACCATTTAAGTTGTTCATTTTTGATAAGAGCAATACGACGAGCACATAATTCTTTAAGACTTAATAAACCATTTGATTGTATTCCATGGCGTTGAAATCGTTTAATAGCACCACAAAATGAACTAAGATCACCTTTAATTCCAATAGCTAATATATCACATGTTGATCTTGTTCGATAATATCGACCCATGATCAAATTTAAGAATAAATCAAGAAAAACAAACAACGTTTATATATATATATAATAAGAACGTAATTCAAAGAAAAACATGACTATTTAGCTGACGACTAATAAAGCATTTAAATTCACCAATCAGTTTACAGAGAGAAATCACCATAATGATTCTTATCGAAAATAGAATAGAATAAAATAGTCTTTGTTTATTATAAGGTATATAAATCGGATACCATTGACAGTGCCTATGTAAAATCGGTTTTAATTGATTGTTCTTCGCATAATCCTTATAATATTTAAATAATCTTTGCAATTTAATCGATATACATTTAGGCCTACTAGTAAAANCTTCCCTCGGAATACAATTAGTTGTGCAGTGACCGATACAAATGAAGTTATAGGAAAAACGACTTTCTTCGAGTAAATCAAGGTGCAGAGTTCAAACTTGAGTTGTATTCGGTCCCATATCCTATTGGTTTGGCGACGCGGAATATAAATCAACATTTTAAATGGTAGATTTGACAGTATAATTTTGATATTCAGATAGTCTAGGATGATTGATTTGTATGATTCACTTTTTGAAGTACACATAACTCTCGGATTTAAATCCGAAGTTTCCGCATTTTTATATTTATAAAATTGCTTTATTTTAAGAAATGCAATGTGCAGTGTATTTATCACGCTTCATTATCATGGACAATTTTCGTCTCTGTGACATCAAAAGAGGAAAACTATACCTATGGTGTTATAATGATAATTAACCATATAAACAAAGAATAGTCAAGTCACAATAACAAGGAGAAAGAACATTATTAATAGTAAAAACACATTGGCATTATAAAAGATAATCAGGATGTGGATGCGTCTTCTTTTCACGGCATTCGCATCCGCCTTTACCTGTTTGCTTGTGAACAAAGTCAGAACGTATCGTATGTTCACAACGCAATAAGGTCTGTCAGTAGTCGAAATGGCTCACCAATCCTTTTCTCTTGTAGATTTAAGCAGAAGTGATGTTATTTTTAGTTATTCCAAATTTCGCTTTCCTTCATGATGTTTATTGAACATTGTATTGTTCAATATTTAGAAAAGTAAAAACTGTAAGAAAAACAGAAAATGGTTTATGAATAGCCTCAACGCTTAGTCATCGCAATACACACTGTCACCGCTTTTGTTATTTATTCGTTGAAACATTGGGAGAAACGTCAAACAACACCATAAAAAGTGTTAAAAAAATTGTACTACACATAAACATTCAAAAAAACATTATGTTTTTTCTTCTCATCGTCATGCTGTACTTTCTCTACTGTGAATTCTATACCAGCACTTAGGAGTATTTCTTGTTGATTTGTGCGTTTCAAAGAAGTATCAATATCAATGGATCGCTTTTCTTTTTCATAGACTTTTTTCAGCTCCATAATGAAAAGAGTGTTTGTGCCAAAACTCTCAGCAAATTCACGATTTGCAGTTGTTGAAGTAAAACTCATCCATCGAAGTGTTGTATTATCGTCCGCGGCTCGTTTGTAGAGATCAATATCCGACTGAATCAAATTCATACCATGATATACTGTTGTGCTATGCACTTCAACAGTTGATGGCTCATTAAATGTAAAATAGAGTAGACGAAGAAATGGTCCATACGTTACAAGCTTTTCCTTATTTGCCTCACGTAAAAATTTGTTCATTTCTGTGCGGAGAAATGTTTCCATTGTATAGAGATGTAGACAGCCTTCGCTAACTTTTTCAGGACTTGCATCAATTAATTCATACAATGCTCCTATCATACTTTTAGATTTTCGGAATTTGAAAATTTTGCCGACCTCCGCTTCTATCCCTGTGATTAACAGTTGAATTTCTTTGTTAGTATCAAGATTTTCAATGAAATCGCATGGGTTAGGGATTTCGTTTCTAAAAAAAATTGCCAACAATGGATTATGATATTTTTAATATTTTAACTTCAATATTACCTGGGGAGCATTTTCGTATTATCTATCATGGACAAACATTCGAGAATAATTGAAGCATATCCTTTTGCCGCTGCATTATTGAAGATCTTATATTTCGGCAAATCATACGTAGTGAATCGAGCAGAAGACTCTGTTGTCTCAGATTGATTATTCACAGTGTTTGATTGCACAACCATTGTAGAAGATGGGGACGGATTATTATCGATCGTCTAAAATTTAATTGAAAATATTTAGTATCCAGGAACGTCATGAAACGACTTCCATTAACGAGAGGTGTTCGTCATAATGATTGGCATACCTTTTCCCTATCTTCGGAGGTATTTATAAAGCTGGCGTACTTTCTCGTCCAGTGTCTTATTTTTTTGTTGAATTCTTCGGGATCCGTTTTGTATAAAAATGCAACTTCTGGATCAATGAAATCATCAAAATTAGGACTCGACAATAACGCTTGAATTGATAATAGAATTGTTGATAGTGTATACGCGCAAGACCATTCATTGTGAAGAGTATCTAGACATATTTCGCCATTCGAACTAATATTAGGATGGAATATTCTTGTGATAAATTTGATATTTGGCGGCACCCATGGGTAAACATCAAAACCATGCGTAGATAATGTTAGAGGCACATGAATATCTAGTAGAAAAACACCATCGTCATACGGTGTACCGTCGGGTCCTCTAATCATCGCTTGCAAATGTCCTGGATCTTGGCTGTTATCATAAAACCAGCAATTGATGCCTTCAGATCCAATACACTCAACCTCTTTCAATTCTTTTATCAATCTTTTTATAGTTCCTAGGTATTGTCTTCCAGTCATATTTTGATCTAGAAAGAATCAAATGATTTTTCAAATTAATGTTCATAGAAACATTTGCTTAAATTTGGGGGATGGGTGTGCGTGTGCGTGTGGGTATGGTCGGTGTGGATATGGATTGAGTGTAGGTGACGGGCGCGGATGAACGGTGGGTGTAGAGTGTGGGTGTCCGTACAACCGTTCTTTAAACACACACCCACACCCACCACTCACAACCTCAGAGGTTATAAATAAAAAAAAAGATATATGCTCGATCTTGAGATACAGTAATTTGTTCAAAAGCATGCATATTTAGCCTGTTTCTCGACTAGAAGCATAATATGTAATCGATAGTTTTCGAGCTCTATTCGATTTTCAAGATTTTTTTCTATTTATCAAAATCTGTTAAGTGGAGCCCGTTAAAATTACTATTGATCTCTTAAAGATTGGGTCAATATATAATGTAATTAAGTAAGAGTCTTTTCATAGGTTTCGATAATCAGATATAATTATAGAAATCTTGAGAGTGCGGATGTGACTGTGAGTGGGTATATGGATTTGCATATAGGTGTGAATTTGAATAGATGCGATTTTTTGCAATTGAAAGGGATCCACACTCACACATTGAATATTATTGAAAAGAAGGTTTATGTCTGTACCTATCCAGGCATGCTCCTTAAATCCGAAGTACCATTCGAAGAATTACACTGGCAAGCTAAAAATTCTTACCTCCCCTAACACTTCCTTTAATTCAGATTGGATAAAAATTTAAGCGTCATCAGAGAAGGCTTTGAAGAATTGGCTGCAAAACCAAACTCAAAAAATTTCCGTGGTGTTTGTCCCTAAGCCTTCAACTTTTATTAGGGATATTTCTAATTATTGCTGCTTTTTACGTTTTCATCGATTCTGATCGGTAGAAAATGATTATGAAAGAGTCATGGATTGGTGTAGTAATGCTCTGAAAGATCTATGTCGGACGAGATATGCGAAGAGAAATACAGGACATACTCGGTGCAGTTGTAGGTACAGGTGCTGGTTTTGTTACAGTTGTTGGTGTCCATACCGGTGTCGTGTTGGTGTTCTTCTTGCTAGAGCTACCACCCATCTAAAGTAAACAGAATCTTAAATTATATCGACGTAGAATGATCAGAAAAGAATGTTGGCACCCGATGAGTGGTATAGCGAAATGTTTAGAGAAGTAATGCGACTAAAAAGTAATCCCTGTACAATTCTCCAACTAAAGTTATTTTGCTAACAGCTGCTGTTTGAGAATTGGAAAAAAAGAAAGAAACGCAACAAACGATAGAAGAAACTCAAACTCGTGGAATGAATCATAGTTAAATGTTGATAAGGGTTGGTTTTGGTTGTATTGTTGTAAAATAAAAGTTTCGAAAAAAGACGAAGTCTCCGAAATGAGTGGAATAAAGCATTTGTATGATAAGAAAAAAAGGAAAAAGAAACAAAAATAAACGAAAAAAAAAACCGAGAGCTTGTTGAAATGATGGAGGTATAAAAATGGAAAAAAAACTCCAAAAATACGAAAAACTTGTGCGTCGGCACTGCACGCTTATTTTAAAAGCAGTGCAATCATAGAATGCCGTGGAGATGCGCCACATGCGGTGCGACTATACCACCGTTTAATATTCAGTTTTGCCCTAGTTGTGGACAGGAACTCCGTAAACCAGAAAACGATTCAGCATCAACAATTAATAAAACCCATGCTACAGACAGTAAGTCAGTGACGTCTAAACCGAATAGCAAAGATCAGTTTGCTTTTTTAGAATATTCAGGTCATTCAAAACAGTATCGTGTCTGTTCATATACAAGTCTTTATGTAGAATATTTTCGATCTTCAGAATGGGATCAATCTTTATTTGATCGACGTTTTAATCATTGCTACTGTTCAGGTTGTTATCTCGAGTCTTGGAGTGATACTGTTGAAGTGACCGGTTCCGTTTACGTTATTGCATGAGAATGGTGTCAATTCGGCCTTCAAGTAGATAAAGTTCGAACTGAGGTTGATCGCATTAGGCGTAATTGAATTGTCATCTACCATGGAACAACACTGAAGGCAGCTCAGTCCATTGTTGTTCATCGACAATTCTTAATACCTGGTAATAAACGGTTAGACGGCGAGAAAGTTGCCATACATCCTGGGCATATCGACGAACAAAATCATATTTATACATCACCGGCAATAGCATACTCAGCACATCCATGCTATTGTCAGCCTCAACTGTTTCGATCGCGAACAATAAATAAAGTGTACAAAGCACGCATCGTGCTTCAATGCCGACAACAACTAGAATCCTTTAAAACTCAATCAGAAACAATAAGAGCTGCCCATAAGAGAAGTCGCTTAATAATACCAAATGATAAAGTAGAAATCTATACAACAGTTTGTGCAACACTTTAACCTTACGGTATATTGATAGAGTTAGAAGAAACTTCTGAAAATGATTGGTGATGAGCACTTTACATTTCGTTTATTCTATTCTCAACACAAGCATATAGATTAGAAGATTTAGTATGGTTTTCATTATAAACAAACCTAAGAAACGAAAAGACGATCATAAAAACGAACTTATCATTCGAGTTTTTCTCTGTTCAACTTCTATTCAAAATATTCATATTGCTATAATAATCTTCCAAAAAGAAGTGTCATCAAATATGAACGAAAATCAGTAGGGTGTGGGTGTGCTGAGTAAGACGTGTGTTTTCTTTTTACACTCACATTACCCATATTGCGCACCGATACCCAAATACTATCCGGAAATCTAAGGATGTCCATACGAACTCTTTTTCGATTATCTAATAAGAAAACTAATTTTCTTACTCTAATTATTTCAAATAACTTATTTTAACAGAATGAAAAATTGATCATTGAATTCATATTAGTGTTTGTAGAATATCCTTCATTAAACTCTATCACTTATATTCTAATTTACAGTAGGGACATGTCTTTTTAATTTCAAGAAGACCATGAACCTTTGGATAAAGATTTTTATGTAACAGGGTCCAATGCATGGATTTACTTTGAATGTAAAGTGAACGCTTTCTGAGAATAGAAACATCTTCTGACTATTGATGGCGTAAAAGGACTTAAGAGATATAATACAATTTCAAACAACTTACGTTTTCTCCTGGTATTTGTGCAAAAAATATTGTAGTGATGAGTATATTGCGTTGGTGATGTATCGAAGTTGTTTGATAGAGAAAATACAAGCATTATTTTGCTTATGTAAATATTTAAAGAATGTTTGGATGGCTTGCATTCAACCGTATACGTGGGGTACAGCATGATCGTATATTGTTGGGACAAACTGATTGTTTTTTCTCGTAAAATAGTATCATTCTTTTGCTCGTTCTGTCATTTATCAAGTAGAAAACTTGAATGATGAAGAGATAAAGTTAATCGGTGGTAGGAAAAAGGTGCATTGTATCACAGTTGTATTCTATTTTCCTTTCTACTGTTGCGTAGGATTGGTAAAATATGGGTGTGAATGGGAGTGGTGTGGATATAGAAAGAAAACAAACATCACACACTAGAACGTTGCTACATCTTCGTATAGAATTAGTTTCACGTATGAATATCAATTGATGTACTATATAAAAGCTAAGCGAATTTGCTTGTTTCAAGTAAAAACTTTTCTTAAAATATTTCTCTTGTAATAGATGAGTATGAACGCGGTAAACCTTGTAAAAAAAACAAGATATATAGATCTTAAATTAAAGCTATTAAAACTAGTTACAGACCAACCGGACAAAACAAGTTTTTTCTCTGAAACTACTGCACTAAAACATATTGACGACTTCATACATGAGATAACTCATTATAAGCTACTGTAGGAACGGATTAAAATGCGAAATTTCTAAAACATTTCGCATTTTAACGGGTTAAGCATTTTGTATTGACGCCATTTTAATAGTAAAAAATCATTGAAATGGCATCATTACGGAACCTTAATGGATTTTAATGCGTTTTTTTCATTTTTCATTATTTTTTTGTCTGCTTGGATACTCCCAGTTCAACGCTACACAGTACGCTAAAAACAGATACATATCTTGTTAAACTCTTTATATTTACAATGTAAAAAAATTCTACTGTCTTTCTCATTTTCATCCTGTAGAGATTACACGAATAACTTTGCAAATGAAATAATAATCAAAACATCAAATGCGTAAATCATTTTTATTTCACGAACTGTAATTAAATCGCGTATGATCGTTGCACTTATCTGTTTTATTTAGTCTTATCTTTTAATCGTTGCCGAAGCGATCGCATTTTGTTCTACCTGTATTAATCATTTTCTTTTCTTAAGACGCATCCAAGCAGTCCCTTAATAGTTCGAGATCATATTTCAAATCTTCCATGATAGATTAATTTTGAGGCATATGATGCTTGTTCTATTTATTCAACTACATTTTGTCAAAAAGTGTAGATTTACTTGTGAGCAAATACTAAAAGCATTACATCACCATTTAAAATTGTGCATAAAAGTGCTCTTTGTCTTGGGAAGGTGTGTAAAAAACAAAAATTATTATGCAATTTATATTTATTGTGGCCATCATCTTCTGCTACATGTTTTTGATTGCTGCAGCGAAATTTTCCCGACGAAGCAAAACATAAATAGTGAGTAACATTCATGCTAAAGCTCGTTGAATAATAACTCTATTTATCCGGTACCTTAATTCTTTCAGGTAAAGTGTAAGAAATCGTAGAGTCGCAAATCCTTACAGAATTGATCGAAGTACAACATATGATAAACCCTTTTTACTGTTTTTCAAATCCATCTTAACCCTTCCATGTATCCTGTTCAAAGAATATATAAGAGGGCTCATGAACTTAAAATGACAAATATCAAAGGTTTATAGAAAAACAAAAGGTTGAGTTTTCATTACAATGAACCTAATGGTGTGAGTATCAGTGCCAATGTGGGTCAACTTTTCCATGACTCGATCTGACCCAAGTCGGACACTGGTGGATACGACGAATGTAAGTGAGAAGAAGAAATACTCGTCTATCTGCGAAGCTTCCTTGCAAGGGCTTAGAGGTGTCTGTAGAGTTGAATAGTAGTTTCCTTTTTTTGTTTGTTTTTCGAATGCCTCGTTTCACAAAAATATTCCTTCTTTTTTTTGTCTTGAGGTCTAAAGAATCTCATCGCAAGAAAAAGAAAAAAATGCGAGCATGCTACGTGCGAGATAATTTCTTCTGCGAGGCAAAATGAAACCAGAGGATTGTTTACACCATCCATTCGTGAATAGTTTGCAGTTTATGTGGAATGAATTTTATTTTATTATAAAATGAGATACTTGCCAGCTGTTGGAACAACTTTGCATAAAAAGTTTGAAACACATGGAATAATATAACGAGATTTCGAGAAACGTTCATTGACTGTGAATAAACTTTGTATCGATCATAATTCATTACACTTCTTTTTTTTAGATAACCAGGCCGATAAACAGTCAGGATGGAGTATGCTGAAAATTAGTCCGAACGCTTTTATGTCCATCATTTACCAGAATTTTAAGGTTTCTGTTTACAAGCGAGATAGCAATGACTCAAATGAAGTACAGTATTATTATTCTCCAGCGCTTATTTTCGATCCTGAGTCTCCAGTCTATGCTTATAACATATTTACTAAGAAACATGAAATAACTTTCGAAGTCCTGATGTGGGATGATTCTTACGAGGATCTCATTTGCGACAAAATATCAAGAAAACTGGGGAAAATGGTTTCTCGAGACGATCTTCTGACCTTACCAATTGAAGAGATTCGTATGGATGCCAGAGGACACTCGGACGAATATGAAATGGTCAATAAGTGGACTTCTTACGCTAGTCAGCCGTCAAAGTTCGATTTTCGCATGATATGCAAAACTGCAGAAAGGTGTAACGAAATCGTCGAACTGATGAAAACGAATCCGAAACACATACTATCCGATGTCGTAGTATACTATAGTCTGCAGAGTCAAAAGAGTAATAGAAGGCTGTTATCCATAAAAGCGGAACATATTCAATCCTCAGCACTGTTCGCTGTGTTAAACCAAAAGTTTATCAACCAGGATGTGGTTTATTTGCAGACAGACGACGCAAAAAAGTTATCTTTGGAGATTGCTTCGAATGTAATGGCAATGGAAGTCGTTGATGACGAGTTTATAAGTCAGGATCAGCAAGTGACCATTGCAAATCTTCTGGATACTTTTCTTAAATTGAAGACAGTTTCCACAACAATGTTCGAAGAGCAGATGTGGGAGTCTGTGTTCTGGCACGACGATAATTCACGACCGGACAAAACGACTAAAACATTAAACGATTTCTACAATAAGAGTGACAATAAACTTAAAGAGTTGATCAAAACTGAAATGGAGAAGAAGCGGTCTGGCAGCGTTAATGCCGGTGTAGGAATTCCCTTTGTCGAGGGTCTGCTAAACGTTAACGGAGCAGGAAACATTAATTTGGAAGAACTGAGCAAAGAGGAAAGAGAAAAAGTTGCGGAATCATTGAATGAGTTCAAAAATGTGAGTGAATGGAATGGCGAAAAATTTACTCCGAAATCACTTTCACTCAGTCGAATAAATTTGGCCGTACTGCGAACCGATTCACAAATTACCACCATGCAGGTTCAAGTGACGAAAACTTCATCCGAACTAACTACCAGAATCAATATTGTAAATGATACTCGAATTTTAGAGAATCTACGTAAAGTGACTGAAATTGAGACATTCATGAATAGAGAATGTAAGAAACACACGGAGACTATACGAAATGACATATATATCATTCGAGATCATGTTCTGGAATTGAAATCATTTGCTAATAGAACATTGAAAACCGTTATCATACCACCAGGTACATATGTCTCCAGTAGCCGAATAAATGGACCAAATGCACTTCTAACGGCTTTTCCCCAATTAGCAAACAGTGTGCGCGATTTTGTTCGAATGGATTATAGAGCTTGCAGTAATTCT